CATATTTCATACTGATAACAATTGGTAATCATCTACTCTAATCATAAATCTGCTTAAGTTGTCTTACCCCTAGAAACTGTGTAACAGACCCTTACCACATCCAAGGTAACAAATCATTATATACATGCTTGACTAAATCCTTTGATTATTGTTTCCACTTCTTCAGCACATTCCATGCTCACAAGCAAGGTTGCTAACTTACTACTTTGGAGTGTTGCTTTCTAGGCCTACTCTCTTACTAAGCCTTAGCCATTCTACTACTAAATTTAAATTGCTCTGTAACAACAGGACAAATATTTATATTTTGATGGCAGAGAAAAGCACAAAAGGAGTTAATGATGGCTTAGTTGGTAAAACACCTTGCCCTGCTGAGCCAGGAGAAGGTATTGCCTAATGTTTGTTCTGCCTGTTTTGCTAGAAGTACACTGTAGGAACACTGGTAAATGTCTTGTTCTGTCCTGCTTACCGGACCAAAGTCTCATTATAGAAAGAATGATAAGGAGCAGTATATAACAGACCACCAGGTAATAAATCAGGTAAACCAGATGTTTAAAGTAGACATAGGAGGCTGAGAGTCAAGATTTTGCAAGTTTGAAGAATCTAGGTCACCTAACAATGAATGTTGAAAAGTTCTGCTGATGAAGACTCTTGTATACGACCAGGAGACCGAAGTACGAGAAGATCACCTAAAACTTGAACCAAAAGAAGATTCTTGAAAGCTCTGCCTAGACTCAGCCTGGACTCCGCCTACCTAGTAACATGGGTGTTAGAAGGTGTAACTGTATATCTAAAATGTATAAAGTGGCTTGTTTTGCACTTTTGGGTCAAGAGAGTTTGTGCAGTGCAAACTGCCTTGCTCCCAACGTTGCAACAAACCAAATACCTTGCTGCTTAAAGATGCAAAGTCTCTGAGCAGTTCTTCTGTTCCGAGGTTTTCGGCATCAATTTCAAATATATAAAACAGAAATTAGATCCTTATGACTAATTATTCTACAAATAGCCTATCTTACATCAAGGTGCAGCTTATATTAAGTTATGTCACACAATACAGAATAGCAGAACAGTTGTTAGGAGTGGGACATATCGGAAAAAATGAACCAGAAGAAAAGATATTGAACTGGTTTAATGGCAAATAACAAAATGGATACATCTGCCTGCATTCTTTAGGAATAGATAATTTATATTCATAGAAAGACCACAAAAGGAAGCTCTGTTTTGAAGTTGCTATTCTACCTCTGTTCTCAGTTTTTTTATACCCATCTCCAAATGTTCTTATGGCTTTGTAGGATATTCCTTTTCCAAGACACTGACAGATTAGTCACTAACACATTAGTCTGCAATAGCCTGACACTCTGTTAAACAAGAGCTATATATCAATGACACATGGAGCAATCCTAAACAATACCTAAATACACACTCTTGTGACAATTTACATGTGTAGCGTGCTTTCTTCACCATGTAGTAACTAACTGAAACACCTTTAAATCTTATCTTTTATTTGTGTTCTAAGAGTCTGATGCTTGATGGTAGAAACTCCCTTCATTCTGATCTCACATCTGGGCATGAACAAATCACCCTAAAACACCTGCCAGGATTGAGAGATTTGTAACACCAGCCTCCCAAGAGCATGACAGCTAAAGCTGTTTATCTGCTCCAGCTGCCCTCTCCACCTCTCCAGCAAGTGTTGTTGCTGCCAGGCATCCTCAGTTTGTCATGCTCTGCAACTCCTACACTGTCAGTTTTCAGCCAAGTAGAATTATGTAAACCAACTGCAAATTTGACATAGACTGGTCTTAAAACTGCATCAGCTAGGACTGCCTGTCTAAGCTAGTGATTTCTCATCTTGGGAGCAATAACTTCAGGAAAGAGAAGCTAATATAAGATATAGCTTGAGAAAAAAAGAACGTTTCTAAGTATTTTCAATATGATGCTCTCTTTGGAGTGTTAATTACTCTTTTGGGGCAGGGGGTAAAGGCCATTAAGTGTCAGACAAGCAGTAGATACACCTTAATAAATGCACTTTGTTTGGAGATCTTAAAAATAATGACCTTATTAAAAGGACTACTCCACACATTAATAGATTTGGGTTTGGTTTTAGTTTCTCTTGTAAGTTCTGCTAGTTAAACAATAAGCCTACGAGCCAGCTTAAGTAAGAAGCTTAAAGTGCAGTCTGGCATCAACAGATGGCCATCACCTGACTGGTATTAAGACAAGAAACAATACACTAAATTACATTTGTTAAGAAGTTGTGTAATTACTAGTTCTGAGTAGTGGTCTTATGGACCAATAATTATATTATAATTACATTATAATATACTGCAGCAGTATTAATAAAGTAGTGTAAAAAAGATCAGTAACCAATCAAAAATAGAAATTGTTTACGGTATCAAGCACTACAGTGCAGATGAAGAGAAGTTACCAGGTTTAAGATCTAAGGTTAAGCATGTAGCATAATACACTGTCTTAACTATCATTAATGTGGTCACTACACCCCACTCTAACCAAATGTAAAGTCCAGAGGTTGCAAAGGCTATTTTTCCATACCCCACTTGACTTCACAAACAATTTTTACTGTGTCTTTCTCATGCTGTCCCTGAAACTCGCAGTTGCAGCGTGAGCTGTTCAGCATCTGATCTGAATGCAAAAAAACCCTTGACTAAAGCTGTGAGGACACAGAAACAATGCTGCCAGGACAAATGGCTGAGTGCAGGAGGCAACAGCAACCTAGAGTTACACCAAATCTGATTTAGCATAAAACCACAGCTCTGGAGTCCCTATAGACAACTGGTTTTGCAACAAAACCTTGTCTGGCATCAGAATGCCACCAAATCACAGCAAATTAAACTCATACCAATTAAAACCTCTAGAGAGGTCAAAACATTAAGGCTCTGTAATCTGAAGCATAGCACAGATTTAAACTTGGAAGGAAACAAGATTTCCAGTCTGGAAGCACAAAAAAACCCCCCACTAAAGTTAGCACAGTGTATTAAGGGCATCTCTAGCAGGTCACTGTAGAAGACACTCAAGGAGGAGACTGTGATTTCAAGCAGAATCTGGGCAGAGTTTAACCCAGGCCTGGCCTGCAGAGACCTGTATGTCAACATGAGCAACATTCTAAACCTAAGCACGCACCAGGGCCACCTTTAACTCATTCCTGTGTGCAAAAATGCAATCCCTCCACAGAACCTCAGTGACCGCTGGATGAACTTGGCTCCCTGACCAACAGAGAAGCCTGTACCAGGCTCCGACACAGTGTAGATTACACCATCCACATTCTCTGTTTTGAGATTAGCCAGCTAATCTACATTCAACATTCCTGAACTTGACTGCAGAAATGAAGAATAGTTGTTTACTTCTAAGAAAAAAAAAATCTTATCAAGGCTCCAAAGACCACAAACCTGAACCTCCCCATAGGCAGGATCTGTGCTACACGCTGATCACTGTGAAGGGGTTGTCTCACACTGTGACAGCCAGGGGCCTCAGCATCAGAAGGGACATAAGACTGCTGTCACCTTTACCAGTGCTACTATTCCATATGCAATAAACCAGTCAACAAGCCTTGAGAACCCACGCCTTTCCTACTGAGATCCCAAATGAACCGGCACCTCCTCGCTGCAAAACAGCATCCTGCCATTGGCTGGGGTGAGTCAAACAGACTTTGAGCCTTTGGGGGGCCTTTTATGCACCCACCATGTGACTATTTCCTCTTCTATGATGGATGCCTACTGAGTCATGTGAATAGGCAGCAGCAGTCTTTTGTCACACAAGGGCACACACTTCATTTATGTGCTAAATACATATTTATGATATTGTTACAGAGCAATTTAAATTTAGTAGTAGAATGGCTAAGGCTTAGTAAGAGAGTAGGCCTAGAAAGCAACACTCCAAAGTAGTAAGTTAGCAACCTTGCTTGTGAGCATGGAATGTGCTGAAGAAGTGGAAACAATAATCAAAGGATTTAGTCAAGCATGTATATAATGATTTGTTACCTTGGATGTGGTAAGGGTCTGTTAAACAGTTTCTAGGGGTAAGACAACTTAAGCAGATTTATGATTAGAGTAGATGATTACCAATTGTTATCAGTATGAAATATGAGTTTGTGTGTGACTAAGTGTAACTGCTTTCATGTAGAAATTGCACGTAGACATGTTTGTGTGAGAGTATAAAAGCTGTACGAAAAATGAGGGTCTTTGGAATCCTGACTTGGGACACTAGTCCTCAGGTTCCTGGGCCCCGAATAAAGCACCGCATAAACCGGCACTCAGTTGGTTTGTGTCTTTGTTACGGGCAACAATATGACACCTACATTTTGGCCACTGGTTAAATGAACTTTTCTGGCAATTCACCCTGAAGGAGGCAGACTGTCATCATATATTGCAGCACATTAAAACAGTTATATCTAAAAACTTAATGTAAGCTTCAGATTAATTTTTTTCTCTTAAAGACGTTAAATGGCTAAAGCAGCCATGTTTGAAAAGAGGTCTGTAAATCGACCAAATACTTAGTTCAAATTTGCAGAAAATATTCCAAAACCAATGCAGATACATGGAAATTGATGTGAGCTATGCCAAGTCTTCCTGTTACATTTAACTCTCTTGCCACAGAACATTAAATTCAGCTTGAATGAAAAGATTATTAAGATAAATCACATTCTTTTCAAAGAGCTGGTTGATATTCGCAGAGTAGGTTTCTGATCTGCAGTTTAAACAATCATTTAAATTATGTTTTCACTGTTATTCTACCTTTATAGGAAACCATAAAACATTTATTGCCTACACCCCGGCAACTATAATCTTATCTTCAGTGCTTTTAAGAATAAAAATGTTAGACTATCTCTACTCTTTGACAGCTATTTTTCTTTTATTTGTCAAATGAAATATTTTACCCCTACGCTGTCTCTAACTCCCTCCTAAACACAAAGGAATTTGGCATAAAGAAGAACCTCAAAGCAAAACAGCATTCACTGGTGCCAGGCAAAGCCAGGGATCCTAAGCCATCTCTCCACACCCAGATCTGTCCAGGAGCATATTGGTACCTACCTGCCAAACCTCATCACCACCACCAAGCCCTGCCAGTCCTGTCAAACCCTGTCACTTGTCCTGTAACTCCTCCCAAATGGTCACTTCTGCCAAACTCCATCACCTACCCTGCCACCCCAAACCCTGTCACATCTGTCAAGCCTCGTCACTTCTCCTGTAGCTCCTGAACTCTGCCAAACCCCGTCACCTCTCCTGTAGCTCCTGCTCACCTCTGCCAAACCCTGTCACCTCTCCTGTAGCTCCTGCTCACCTCTGCCAAACCCTGTCACCTCTCCTGCAGCTCCTGCTCACCTCTGCCAAACCCTGTCACCTACCCTGCCACACCACCAAACCCTGTCACTTACCCTGCCATCCTTTCACCTCTGCCAAACCCTGTCACCTCTCCTGCAGCTCCTGCTCACCTCTGCCAAACCCTGTCACCTACCCTGCCATCCTTTCACCTCTACTAAACCCTGTCACCTTGTCACCCCTCCTGTAGCTCCTGCTGACCTCTGCCAAACCCTGTCACCTACCCTGCCAGCCCGTCAAACCCTATCACCTCTGCCAAACCCTGTCACCTCTCCTGCAGCTCCTGAACTCTGCCAAACCCTGTCACCTGCTCCACCACCGCCGCCAAAGGCCTGTCAAACGCTGTCCCCTCCCTGTGCCTCAGTCCCAGCCCTCCTCCCGAGGCGGGCGCGGCGGGAGGGTGTCGGGGCGGCACTCACAGGTCCAGGAGGAGCCGGACTTCCTCGCCGGCGCCGTCCCAGCCGCCGCTGAGGCGGCTCATGGCCGGGACCCGGGAATGCGGCCGGGACCGGGGAATGCGGCGGGGACACCGCCCCGACCCAACGGTGCCGGTGCCGAGATGGCGGCGGCGCCCGCCGGGATGCAGCATGACGGGAGATGTAGTCCTGCTCCCGCCTCGGGCGCTGTGCGGGAATCAGCAGGAGTGCCTGCTGCCTGCCACGTCTTTCTACCTGAAATTCGTTGTATCGCTCGCTCTCTTTTCTTTCCTTTTTTTTTTTTTTTTTTTTTTACATTTCTGCTTGGATGGTGTGACATAAATTGAGACCACACAGTCCTCAGAAGTCAGCAACATGATTAGGACTTTATCGCTATCTTCAGACCCAAGACCCCTCACCTACCCACTACTAAAAAGAACAAGTGACTGAATAAGAAAACGATACCTCTGTTCTCACAAAATTAACTGAAGGATCCGTATCTAAGAGAAACACAGGTTGCTGCTGATGCCTGATAACTTTGTTGAAGTCAACAACTGAAACGTCTGGACTGACAGATAAACCACAAGGATGCAATGGATGCTGCTGCTGCAAGAACATATACTTTGTCATTGGATAATTAGAAATATGCATTAGTAGGTAATTGGGTGATTCATATAGTAGCCTTGTGAGTGTAAGCTATAAAACCCCCCAAAGAAAAATTGCTTGCATGTGCCCAGTTTGGCTGGGACATCTCATATACACAATGAAATATGCTATTCAGTCATCATGGGCCAGTTGTGAATTTTGTAACAAGAGCAGGAGACACACAAAGCCATTAGATTGAGGTTTGTTTTAGCTTTCCTCTGGACAGCACAAGCAAGATGCCCCCAGGCAGCCTGAGCATCAGGAATACTACAGGAGCAGGCTGGCCCTGTCTGCCATGGAGAAGCCTTTGTCCCTAAAAAAATGCAGGAAAAAGCCAAGCTCCATTGAGTAGCATTTTAGCACTGGGAATGCAGAAACCTCCATGCTGGTGGTGCTGGGTTGAGCAGAGAATGCTAGCGGGCCTCCCTGGAGATCCCTTTCCTTGGGTCGGGGGACGTGATAAAGCTGCAGCAAACTTTGTGGTCCTGACAAATTCTGTGTGCTTATGTGACAAATGTAAACAGCATACATACCTGGCTGATGAGCAACCAATTCTCTTGGTATTTTTTCCATAATATTCAGTTTACCACATTCTCCCGTCAACAAGTTTGGCAGTGCTGAGCGTACTATTCATCAGCTTCTGGGCTGGAAATAACTACTAGCCCACTGACAGCCTTTAGCTGTTTAACCTCAGGAGTTGCTTCTGAAGCAGCTCATGAACTGCCAAACTTCACATACCTGTGACAAGCCACCCTTAAGGGGAAGGAAGCACACACGCAGGCTGTATCTCCAACTGGCATCAGGCTATCCCAGGGAGCAGACAGTGTAAGAGTGCTGCTCTTACACTGGTTTGACTGCAGGCAGCTGCAGAAAGGAATTCAGTCACATCAGCCTTAACATGGTGAGAAACTGTACTGATATACACCAGGCTATAAACAGTGACTCATGAAGTGCTTGAACATGGACTCTCCACAGTCAGGGCCTCAGCTTGTGCTGGTATATGGGGTTATTCCTCCCCAGGGGCAGGACAGCAGCTGGTTGAATGTCATTAGGTTCCTATCTGCTGATTTCCCCGACCTGACAGATGTCTCTGTTCAAAGGGACATGAGGTACATCAACCACTATTCCCAGTTTTGAATTATCAGCAAACTTGTGAGAATGCACTTTCCATCTTCATGTAATGAAGATGTTAAGTGGTATAACCTTAGTATTGACCACAAGGGACTGGTCTCCAGCTTGTCTTTGTGCTGCTGATCCTTTCGACTTAGAAGCTGAGACTCCTTCCAATCTACCTCACTATACAATTATCCAGTCCATACTGAGCTGGATAGAAACCTGATTGCTTTCAATAGCAACCTGATCTAGTTGAACAAGTCCCTGGTTATTGCAGGGAGGTTGAACTAGATGACCTTTAAAGGTTCCTTTCAATCCAAATCATTCTATGAAGACTAAGGCAAATAAAGCATTGAGGACCTCAACATTTCTATGTCTGCTTAGTAGTGTGAAGTTCTGGTTCTACTATATCTCAAAAAAAAACCCACACCAAAAAAAACCAAAAAACAGAAGATGTTTAAGAGAAAAAGATGTTTTTAAAAGTTACAGTCTTACATGTCTCTTCCAATGCTGAGAAACATGCAAGGATACAGACCTGGACAGTTCTCTCCGGTAGAGCCACTGCTTCGCAGAATTCTTTGTGGTGAGATTCAATAGCCTTATTGTTCATCACATCTTTACAGTATTCATTGAAGTAAAACAAATCCATCAGTCTCTTATTGTGTGATACCAAATGTTCTAGAGGGTACACCGAGGTTTGCTGGAAACATTACACTTTTACACATTCCCATGGGAACAAGCCCTTACAAAGAGCACACACAGATTGCATTGTTAGTGGCAACACATTGTATACTCAAGTTCAGCAGTTCCTCATGCTAACAACACATGCAACTCTACAATCAAAACCTAGTTAAATTCTGCCTAAAATCTGCTTGAAATAAGTCTCTTCTTTACAATACCTTCTGTGTTGGCCTACTGCAGCATTCTTCTTCACCCTGTCCCACGTGAGCCCACGTTTTCTATTGCAGAAGCACTGCTTGTTTTTCACATTTCTTTACTAGATTCAACTCCAGATGGATTCGGTTTTCGTAACCCCCATCCTTGCACACATGGACAGTGGCCCTATTCCTTCTGAGTCACCTGTGCTTATGTCCACCTCCTGTATGCTTCCTTCGCGTGCTTGAGTTCAGTCAGGCCCTCCTGCCATCTTTGCAGGTTTTCCTGCACACCAGAATGGACCATTCTTGAGCTTGTAGAAAGTGATTCTTTGCAGGGTAAAAAACCCAAAAAAACCAAAAACAAACCAGCTCTTCTGGGCCCTTCTTCTTTTCAGGATCATATCAAGTGGATTCACCCAAGTAGATCTCTGAACAGGCTGAAGTCTGGCCTCTTGAAGGCCATGACAATAGTCCTGGCTTTCATCTTCTTCCCTCTTTTCAAGATCCTGAACTCTATTTCAATAAAACCACTCTTTTCAGTGTTGAAGAATGCTGAGACCAACCCTAACAACAATCCTAAATTAATCCCATCACAGGGATATGAAAGACAGATGTTTCCTGACAAAGACTGGCACTGACAAGGATGGGAAAGACAGATGTTTATAGAATGAGAAAAACAAACAAGTGACAACATCTTATTTAAAAATAAAGCATGTTCTGTTGAGTTGACATGACAATGGCTAGCCTAGCAACACATGACTGGCAACAAATGACTTTGTACTATAAAGGCATGGTCCCATTTTCCAGCAGAGAAGACTTCTAGGAGTATGTGTGGAGATTCCTCCCTTGAGTAGGGACATCCTTCAAGGTAACTCTTTGAGTATGAGCAAAAAATATTTGCCCACAGTCATCAGTATGGGTAAGCAACATCAAGCTACTTGATAATTATTAAGACAGCTTTAAAACTACTGTTATAATAAGTAGCGCACCGTAATTAGTTATAACTATCTATATTGTGTAGTAGACAATTTTGCTTATGATATTTTCCTTTTTAATAATCACTGGCTTGATTCTCATCACTACAATTAAAACACATACTGTATTCATACTAACATATTTCATTTGCCATGTTTAATCCTGGAGGACAAAGTTATACATAGAATCAATTACACTTATCACATCTGGGGTTGGTATAGATCCAGGCACACCTAGACTCCTCCTTGAGGACTTTAGAAAGCAAGGGAGTCCTTTCTGAATCTTGTGCTCATATGCATGTACTTTGGTGACACCCAAATTGATGATAAAGTCCCCTCTGTTTGCATAAGCCCTCATCTTTTGCTTGATAACCTCATCCACAACTTCTTCATTTGATTGTCGTCCTTTCTTTCCCCATCGTTCTCAGTTTAAAGCTCTTCCTACCAGATTAACCATCCTGTTGGCAAAGACGCTCTCCCATCTTAGTCCAGTGTATCCCAGTTCTTCCAAGTGACATCTACTCATCAAAGAGCATACCACGTTCATAGAAAATAACACCCCACAAGTTGACTGTTGGATTCCAAAATCTGGATATCAGAAAAGGAAATTGCTGGCTTTAAACAAAAGCCATGGGCTACAGAAGCTGGGAAAAACCCCTTTTCATTAACCTCATCTCTGTGGAGTTTTCCTGCCTTCTCCAGCAGGATGTGAAGAGACTTTTTACATAATGTTATCACATGTCCTATTTTATCTGCTCCTCCCTGTATAATCCTGCCTCAAGAGATGTGAATATCTTCCCCCCATGTAATTCCCCTAAGATAAAATGGGTTTTCCTCTATGATATATGTGGTAAGACCCCAAATTTGTTAACTTAGGTTTTCCTCTTCCCTGAACCCCCCTAATTGTAATAACTGTAATAGTTACAACCCCCTGTTGAATATGTAGACCCTAAATCCTTTAAATATGAACTTGTAAGTCCAATAAACCATTCCAGTTTCTTGCCTCCAAGATGGGATCTTCTTAGCTTTATTGACCTCCACAGCTGACCAGCAGGTCTGAAGACACACCAGATAGGCCCTTATGCACTCTGGAGTGCCATCACTCCAGAGCTGTATCATACTTGATGCTATCCAGGTCT